CCTTCCCGCTGCACGTTCCCGCGGCGCGTTCCCGTCGCCTTCCCGCTGCACGTTCCCGCAGCCCGTTCCCATCGCCTTCCCGCTGCACGTTGCCGCCTCCCGCAGCTTTTCCCAGCGCTCTCTCTCCCCCCGCAGCCAAGAAGCTGCCAAAGAGCGAGCCGCAGAGCACGAGCGGCGCGGCCGGGCGGCCCCGCGGCGTCGACCTGCACGAGCAGAGCCAGCAGAACAAGAGCCAGTGCTGTAGCAACTAAGGGGCGGCGCGGGAGCCAGAGCGAAGACGTCACCTCCGTCCCCGTCCAGCACCCCTCACCTCCATAACGGCACCGAGACCCCGTCGGAAGCAGAACCCTCCCGAGAGCTCCGTCTAACTGCACTTTTTAATGCTTCGAAACCACCACCCGTTACCACCAGCCCGATGGCAGTGGAACTAGATCRGCCGGGGACTTAACTTCCAAAAACAAACTCTTCTTCACTTTGTATTATAGGTGCAAATAGCGACCTGATTCTGATTCCTCCCTCGCTCTCTCTCCGTGTGCCACCTCTCCGCTTTGGTAAATCCGTGTCCGCGGGCTCGTGACGTCTCTCCTCTGCCCTCCCTTAGAGCTGGGGCAGGGAGAGACGCGAGGAGGTGGCACCGTCATCCTTAGCGGGTCACTTTGTGCTGAGCAAGTTGGAACCAGAGACTTCCAGGAACCGTGGGTTTCTTCCGAGGGCTCTGCCATGGGTTTATCTTTGTGTTTTGTTTTCTCCTGGTCCTTCCGTTGGGCTGCTCGGGGGGGGAAAGCTGCAGTGTCCTTAATTGCTTCCTCGGTGGCCTTTGTTTTGCCGGCGGCTCGGAAGTGCCTGGGACTTCCCACGGGAAACGGGGGCRCTTGGGTAGCTGGAAGGTTGTGAGCCCGAGCGCCGGGGGCTCCGGGGGCCCCGCCGGGCTCTGCTCCACGGTTTGTCCCCAAGGGGACCCCCGGGTCCCTCCTCGCGCCCGGCGCCGCGGGCTCTGCACTTTAGCCATGGCCGATGCACCTTGTTCTGTTGCGTTTCCTCTCCCTGCTGGGGTCCCGCTCCCCCCGGCCCCCCGCGCTGCCCGGGGGCTGCAGAGGCAGCCCGGCCTCCTCGGCGGGACCTCACCGGGCCCAGGGGCCGCACGGGGCGGCCGGTGTCACCCGGCCGGTGTCACCCGGCCGGTGTCACCCGGCCGGACCTGCGGCCCCGACCCTGCTTGCGCCCGCGCGGCTAATTGCACCCAATTAGCGCACCCGGGGCAGCGGCTCTCTAGAGGGCAGCAGCGCCCGGTGCATCCTGCAGCTCCCCGCTCCCGCTGGGATTTTCCACGGAGCCTTCGGCTTTGCCCCAGGGTGGGGGGGTCCCACCTGGCGCCTTGGGCCTCAAAGCCCCCTGGACCAAATGGGACACTGCAGCCTTCCGGAGTCTTTTGGTTTTCCCCCGCTCTGCTCGACCTCTGCTCTTTTTTTTTCTTTGGTTTTTCCTTTGCGAAAGCTCCTCCATTGCATTTAAAATAACAATCATGGTAACAGAATTCAACTGCTGATTTACCGATGTATTTAATGTAAGTATATATAAAAAAAAAACCAAAAAAACACCCAAAAAAAAAGGAAGAAAAACCCTCCGTGTGTCCGTGTGGTCCTTGGAAGTGACTGGGGGGGAGATGGCACCAGCATGGGGAGCTCCCCAGCACCCAAGGGTGACTCTAGCA